TCCAAGGTCCAGCCCGGCACTCCCGGGGGTTGCTCAGAATAGCTCTTGTATCTATTTTGCTCTCTGGGGCGGGCTGGGTGCTGTGCATCCTGCTGGCCTTGAGACGGCATAAGGACAGGAGGGTAAATAGACAATGCCCCTGTTATTTGCCGTGGCTGGGCTGGCCCCTTTTGGTGGTTTCCTGACTGGTGTTGAGGCAAAGAATTTCCCTGGATATCTGTCTTAGATTTACACTCATTTGCCCAATGTTTTCATTTTTTACATTTAGGGCATAGTCCAGGTTGTTTGGGACCTCTGCCATTTCCTTTATTAACCTCTTTATTAGAAGGACACGGTTTTGCTATGTGTCCTGTTCCTCTTGTGTGTTTGACTTTTCCTTGGAACTGGTGCCACACAAGGCAGCGGAGAATGGCAGGAACGCCCCCCGCGGCTTCTCTTTTTCTTGCCAAGAAGCTTTAATGCTTCTAAAAAGCGTTCCAACACATCCTCTAGATCACTGCCCTCTTCAGTTCCAGCAGAAAAACATTCTTCCTCCTCTTCTGCCTGAACAACACCTGTATCATCATCATGACAAAGAGCAGCAGCTTCCTCAAAATCCTCCTCATCTTGAGGATTTAATTTGTCTTTAAAATTTACATTATTTTTTTTTATATACTGTCCTTTTTAGACCCCTGTTTTGTGCTATCACACTGCTTCTCCTTTTTTTCTGGCTTAAGAGACGGTTGATTATGGTCATGCCTGGGATCCAAACGATCCCGTATTAAACTCCGTAAGGAGAATGCGTCAACCGGGGTCTTACTCGGCCCAAGGGCTTTAAAATGATCGTGCATTTGTTCTCCAACTTTCTGCCACGTTTCTAAGTTAACGGTTCCTTCCTCAGGAAACCAAGGGCAGACCTCCTGAATGAATTTTTAAAAATTTTCTACTTGCTTGTCATTAATCTTAGTTCCTCTACTATTGAGCACAGACTTTAACATTTGCCCATAAAGGGCACTTTCCCTGGATTCTAACTGCCCCATGCTTTACTCCCGATTACCAAAAAATTGCTCCTCCCTTACCTTGACGAGCGCACTCTTTATCCGGAGGAGTTCCTCCCCGTCTTTTTCCCAGTTCCTCAGTCCCCGTAGCTCGGGCGCCAGATCTGTCAGGGCCAGCCTGACAGGGGTGAGCCGGGCTGAGGCAGGGGGGTGGGAATTGAGAAAAGAAAGAAAGACAGGAAAGCGGGGTCGGGAGGACCCCAGTTCTCTTGATGAACTGAAGCGAGTTTATTAGCTACACAATCCTATTTATACACAACACACTGAATAGGAGGTCTATCAAGAGGAAAGTATTCTCTGCTCCTCTTAATCTCTAAGGGAGGGACACAGCAGAAGGGCGAGTTCTCAGTACAGCAGATCCCAGCAAATAGGTACAGACTTCTTGGTGAGTTATGAAAGGCTGTTCTCATTCTACAAATGTTGCTCTCGTTCCACTGACAATCGCCATCCAAACGAGTCTGGGAAAACTGTGTGGGTAAGGGTCCCGGCCTTGCGAGCCCCTGCAGGTGCAAGGACCGGGCCAGCTTACGTCTGGCCCCCAGCATTTCGCTTTCAGAGAACAGGAAAAAGAGGTTTATTTGCGTTGCTTATTAATTTGTGCAGTTAGTTAGTGTCTGTTAAGAATGTTCAAGAAAAAATATTAATTTTTATTTAAATGTTCTATTATTTTATGTTAACAATCACTCATTTACTTCAGCCCTTTGTATTCAGCACGTCTCTATCGAAATAAACCTACGTTTCTATGAAAATTAAAGGGTTTTTTTTGCGGCCACATACACTTAATTAACCCTTGTTTGTTTGGCCCGTGTTAGCCTTTGAGTTTGACATGCTTGCTCTAGGGCAGCGGTTCTCAACCTGTGGGTCACGACCCCTTTGGGGGTCAAATGACCCTTTCACAGGGGTCGCCTAAGACCATCGGAAAACACATCTATCATTACATATTGTTTTTGTGAATAATCACTATGCTTTAATTATGTTCAATTTGTAACAGTGAGGTTGGGGGTCGCCACAGCATGAGGAGCTGTATTAAAGGGTCGCGGCATCAGGAAGGTTGAGAACCGCTGCTCTAGGATGACTGTGTCCCAGCTGCCAGAGGCTCAGGGGTAAGGGGAGGCCAGGGGTCCGGGGAGCCCTGAGATCTCTGTCCAGCGCTAGTGGGGGTGGGCCTGAGGACTGGGACGGAACTCCAGGTAAAGGTGCTCCAAGTGGACCTCCTGCCTCTGCTCATTCTATTCACCCAAGGATATTTTTCCATTGATTTTTAGAGAGAGTGGAAGAGAGAGGGAGAGACCGAGAGAAACATCGATGTGATTGGTTGCCTCCTGCACATGCCCTGACCAGGGCTTGGGCCGGGGAGGAGCCTCAACCAAGGTGTGTGCCCTTGACAGGAATCGAACCCGGGATCCTTTGGCCTGCAGGCAGACGCTCTATCCCAGTGATGGCGAACCTTGTGAGCTCGGCAGGTCAGCGTTTTGAAAAACCCTAACTTAACTCTGGTGCCGGGTCACATGTAGAAATTTTTTGATCTTTGCAACCATCATCAAACAAAGACTTCTGTTTTTGATATTTATTTTATATATTTAAATGCCACTTAACAAAGAAAAATCAACCAAAAAAATGAGTTCGCGTGTCACCTCTGACGCGCGTGTCATAGGTTCGCCATCACTGCTCTATCCACTGAGCCCACTGGCCAGGCTGCCCATTCTGGAGGCAGGTGGCCAGGTCTGCGTGTGCACGGCCACTCGGTCTGGGAAGCACCTGTCCGCTGTGGCCCAAAGCCATTCGGTAAATCCCGGCGGAGGGTGCTTGTTGGACCAGGGGCTGGGCTGCGTCCTTCCGGCCTTCTGGAAGCAGGGACGGTTAGAACCTTCTGGAATGGGCTCGTGGGGGAGGGGGGAGGGGCAGGGCGAGCTGGGCTGGGCAGAGGCGTGCAGGGAAAGAACAGGCCCACTGGAGAGCGGGCGGGGCCGATCAAGTTTATGAAAATCAATGGTGTTTTAAAATTTGTCTTTATCATTAATTTCTAAAATTGAGAATGACGCCGGAGCGCAGTGCCCGCAGCTTCCTTCCTGCCGCGGCCGCGGGGCCGGCCTCCGGGAGCCTGTGGTTTCCCAGGGGCAGCAGGGCATGCTTATCGCTCAGGAGCAGTCATATTTTTCTCGCTTCACAGAAGTAGCCATGTTCGTGGCTGTGAGGGCCCCACGGGGGAGTCTGACGTCACCAGAAGGGCTGGGGGCAGGGAAAGTGGGGGCCTGGTGGGGACACGCCAGGGGGTGCCCATGGGCCCCGGGATGGGGGAGCACAGCTCAACACCCCGGCCTGGGACGCAGGCGGGGCCCGGGGAAGAGCAAGTCGGGGGTTGTCAGCAGAGCCAGGCATGGACCAGGGTGCGTAGAGCAGCGGATCTCAACCTTCCTGATGCCTCGACCGTTTAATACAGCTCCTCGTGTTGTGGTGACTCCCAACTTCATTGTTACAGATTGAACATCATTAAAGCGTAGTGATTCATCACAAAAACAATATGTAATGATAGATGTGTTTTCCGATGGTCTTAGGCGACCCCTGTGAAAGGGTCGTTCGACCCCCAAAGGGGCCGCGACCCACAGGTTGAGAACCGCTGGCGTGGAGCCATGAGAAGCTAGGAGCAGCTGGGCTGGGCGGGTTTGGGGAGGACCCCCAAGGTCTGGCCCCTCCTTCAGGTCCCACTTGGGGGCCACTGTCCCCCTTTCTCACTATGGGCCTCAGTGAGCTGCCGGGAAAATGATGGCTCCCTCCCTTGGCAGCCAGAGGTTCCAGGGAGGAGTCAGAGGTTTGAGAAGGGAAAGGACAGAGGCCAGGCCTGGGGGCAACTCCTGGGAGAAAGCTGGCCCGGGCGGGGCGGGC